GAATACAAGTATACATTAACTCTTAGAAGTCAAGGCGCCCACTGATTAAACGTTGCATTTTTTTTCTTTTTGTTTTCCTCATTTATGGTGGGTATCTACCTGCCTGTACTGTACTGTACAACTGCATCCTCACACATCAAATCTTCATTCTTTTCCAAACATTTTGGTGGGCAGTAATAGAGAAGTCTCCGCCTAAGATCCCACCGCTTATGGTCCCGGTTTGCCGAAGATCCCGAGGTTTTGGAAAAACAGACTTGTTACTATATAAAATTCGCTCCCAAGATCCCGCTCTGACCTGCACTGAAAGAGCTACATTCGGCTAAGATCCCACTTTTCAGCTTTTCAGGTCATACTTTTCTTTTGCCTTAAGGAAAAAAAGAAAGAAAAAGAAACCTGGGCGCGCTCAGTAGGTCAACCAAGTGGCAAAAATGTGCGATCATTGTACGTTCCGTTGCATCATGGACCATCCACTTTCATGAAGGTGATCACACCTCTATTGTAAATCTCAATAAGCGGTTACAATGTTTGCCCAAGACGGGATTGCACCAAGGTGTGAACTCGTCGACGCGTTGCTTTTCTCTGATCACCTGAGCCGTCTGCCTAATCTTACATCACACACTAGACGGGGAGGGCCTACAAGCAAGCATCAGACTGCATTCCATAAAACTGTTAACTCGTGGAAGCTTTCGTTTCCCCGACTATCGCTCTCGTCTTTCAGTTTTGCGCTCGAACTTCCTAAACAGACTGATTCCCAAACCCTTGGACTGTCCGATCGCCTTTGCCTAATGTGGTCATCTGTTGTATGATGCATCATGACATGGGTGGGGAACTCCGTCAGAGATGGAAAGCAAAATATTTTTTGGTGGGTGGGGGGCATTACCTGAAGCCCTCTGACACAGTATTTTTTTAAAGCTCCACCCCCTCCCAAAACAAAAAACAAAACAAAACAAAAAAGAAGGAAAAACTGACTTCTGAAAAGAACTTTCAGTTTCAGTGCCCAGGAGTCACGTCAGTTCATTTCAAAGTAAGGGGAGATCATTGTACAGATTTTGGGCCTGACCTTGAGTTACTGTGGATTCTTCCCCCTGGCCATACGGCTAAGATTCTGGTTCATCTTAGACCTCACATTTTCCTAGCTCTCGGTGCCGGGATCTTGGGCAGAGACTACTGTACAAGCTTGTAACTTGAAAACTGTCTCTTTCATTATGAAACTATTAACACTTGCATATAATTATATTTTTAACTAAACTTGCTGTAATAAAACAGGAAACAGGCTTACAACTTGTAAGAGTCAAACACATTCTGGTGACGATGTAAAGCAATTTCGTTTAAGCTGACAAACTTACAACTGTTACATACAGTGAATAAGGGAAAACAACCAGCAGTAACAGACAAAACTTTATGACTAACACTTTGAGACAGGTTTTTATCTCTAATTTTGTAGAATATGATGTCCCTGAAAATAGAGAACTAATTAGGTCAGATATATGCAGCCAACAAATATGAAGATGAGAAAATGTAAACTTTACGGTACGCAGTCCTGAGTTCATCCAAGAACAACACTGCAATATCAGGAATTTGACAATCCCAGTCATTTTCAAACCATAAATATTCCATAATATATGGTTCCTTTAAAGGCATCTAACAACTTAAGGATGTAAAGTAATACCGAAAATACATTATATCTATCCCACCATCTCAAATGTAACACAGTGATATATTAATCATAAAGTCTTTCACAGCAATGCATATATAAATATAATAGAATAAAATGGCAACCGTACAAACAAATTGAATCATACAAAAGTATAAACATAACCATTACTTGTATCTGAAAAAAACACAGAAGCCTACTGGTCTCCACGTTGAAAAAATACCCTGAACATATTTGTCATTCCACAAGAAATCTTGTGTATGCTTGGGTTAAGTGACAGAAACAAACGTCTCTCTGGGTCCCAGTGGTGACATGTATGAATGATATACAGTGCCCCAAGATCATTGGGGATGAGTACCTTATTACATTTCCCTTTATACAAAGAGAGAAGAGTAGTATGGTAGGAACATATTATGATTAGTGACCAATTCAAATTCACAATTAGAAGAGACACCTCACTACTACTACCCCCGCTTAAAAATCAAACCTTGAACAAAGAAAATACGACACTTTTGCTTATGTCAACATAAAATAAATTTTTGTAGATTAAAAAAAGTAAAGTATCTCCTCTCTCTCCTGACCCCTCCCCCAAAACACAACAAAAAAATGTAACTTTGATTTTTTTTTTTTACAGTATAGACTTTGTGAAAAACAAATAAAATAGATCCATGCTCAACTTCCTTAAGCTCTTTGACTGATTTTGACAAAGAAGTTCAAAACTCCCACCAAATAACTCCCAGCGCCAAGCACAACCTTCTCCTTTAATTCTTTTCACCACACAGCTGTCTCATGAACATTTTCTTAGTCTTCAGTTGCCATATAATCTGAGAAAAGTCATCAGCAAAAATATAAAAATATACTCTTTGCACTGGGAGGGTGTTTCAAGAAATAACATGTTTAATAATGTTGGTTCATCTATTTTCACCCAGGACTTGGTGTTAACATCTTTTCATAGCAACTATGACCAACAAAAGAGTTGTGTCTTCTGGAAACTTGAAAAGAAAACACTTCTAGTTGTGTAGGCTGCTACAATCTCTCATTATAAAAGTAGTAGAGTAGGCGGTTACTGCTGGTGAAAGAAAAATGTACAAAATGAAGTTCATTGTTCTTTGAATATTTCTTTTACCTAAGCTCAGTCTTGTAAGTTCATTTTGAGTCACAGCACGTCAACTTGCAAGCTGACGAGGTAGAATGACAGTGACAAAATAGAATCAGCCCAAAGGCAATTTTACAGTGCCTTGTATCCATTATAAAAACTCTGAACACAACTCTGCAAAGCAGCTTACTTTAGATTCTTTCTGAAGCAGTATTCCATTTAATTGAGTTCCTAATACCATTTTCACTGAACTTCCTGCTCTTTCATATATCTAGACAAGTCAAGGTTCTTGTGTATATCATAATGCAGAAAAACCATAGAACCTCATTTCTACATCTTGTTTCCTTTCATCTTTCAGATAAAAATAATAATGGTTCGTTCCAGTAATTGTAATCCATTTACATATTTTAACTACAAATGACATCAAGCATTTTCTTGCTCTTAGAGTGGTGATCAGTACACAAAAATCAATAATATTGGAAACAATCAAGAACCAGGCTGTTCGAAACACATTAGTACATTAAATTGGTTTCAAATCACATTTGATTATGATTTGGGTAAAGAATAAGTAAACCCCTCAGTACAGGGCTGTTTAAGGACTGCTAGACAAAAAATGTAAGAAGCAACACCGGAAAGATATTTTGGCAATTAGGAAGAGAAAGTGTCTTTAGTGCTAGACATGTTAAATAGATTATTTCATTTTAGAAGTTTGGTATTTCAGTTAACACTCAACAATCTCTCTTTTTTGTGTTTTTTAGTTTAAAGCAGTATCAAATGGGATTTCTTATTCTTTCCTGATGTCTCTAGGTAGCAACACAATGTAGAATGGCATATTTCACTCTGTTAAGCAGTGTTTAAACATTTGATTTAGATTGAAGGTAGAATATGTCTGCAAACCACTTTCCTTCTCAAGAGAAACTTTACAATATTTTGTTTTAGTAGAGGTTTTACGGCGCTCGCAACTGCATAAGGTCATACGAACGCCAAGGGGTGAAGGTCAACAGAGAAGTCCTTACAGGGAATCAGGCTTACTCTGCTCACCTCTCTAGCTTCAACAGCACAAAGTCTGCTTCGACTATCAAGGCACCCCGGAAATAGTGGCTCACAAGAATGTGACAAACATACGAAAGAAGTAGAGGAAATATGACGATAGTAAGGATGAGAAAAGAAAAAGCAGCAGTTCCCTGTTGGAGTTCAGGCACAGTATGAGCATGATATTCATGAATCAGCCCATTTACAATTCTACTGTGCATAAGAACAGGTTAATGTCCCCCCTTTGGGAATGGCCTAAAGACACTTCAGTCACTAGCACCGCCGCTGGGGTATTACAATTTTTAGTTTGCATCATATCATTTCCTTTCTTGGAGTTGAGTATGTGCTTTCTGAAATCAATTTTAAATCAAATCCTCTACTTCAATAATTAAAATCAGGTGTTAAAAATGCCAAAACCATTGGCCGTACAAACAGTAGCCAAAAAAAAAAAATCCAAAAGAAAAATGATAAAAACCATGAAAAAAGGAAACAAACCAGAGAACAGAAAGCTCGTTGAAAGTTCGGTTTACAGCTACTCTCAACATAGTTTATGAATACAACATATCACATAACAGTGAAGCAAAGAGCACAAATATCAATACATAATACTATTATGATCATCATCACATAGTTTGAATATAAAATTCAGCAGATCTTATAAGAGGTATGGAGAAAAAGAACTACCCCAGTTGTTTTTTCAAAGTGTCCTTTTTTTCCAGAGTAAGTCCCGATTGAGAAAAGTCTTACTCAGAGTAACTCACCAACACTGCTACCAAACTAAGATGGCACTAAGTGATTTGTAATCTGCCGATTCACCAGTAAATTTTAACTCAACTCAACCTCAAAGCGAGTTACGAATCATCTGCAAAGGTATTTACTCATCTTATGCGACACTGATCAATGAAGAGGAAATAAAACTTGAGAGTGCCAATCTTTTAGCACAAGATTAATCAGTAGTAGTAGTAGAATTTTGGCTTTTCACAGTAAAGTAATAAGCACTAAAAAATCAAATGTTAATGGAAAACATAGCTCTCAGTCCATATCATTAAGTTTTATTTCCATTGATTAACTGAGGACAGCTTACCCCTAAAATTGTTTCTGCAAATTATTGTCACTAAAATATTGTGAGACTTCCAAGTTAAAAAGGGCTCTTTCAAATGATTCATTTATCCATCTTCAGTGGGATAAAAAGAAAAAGAAATCATACAAAACAATGTATTATTTTAATATAAAGTTTCTTTAATTTAAATACAAAGTATGGGCCTACTCAATGCTGTGTTCAGGCAGAACTGTAGATATCGACAATTCATACAATGACTGTCAAGACTTTAAAAAAATCAGATTCATCATTGCTGCAGAAGAGAAAGCAGTGTAAAAGAGTGAAACAAACAAAAAATTAACTTCACAATAAACACGCCAGTTTAAATTCGACCTCAAATGAAAAAATTCTGCCCGTGTGACACCAAATTGAACAAATAAATCTCAAAGACATTGTTAGTCTTTTCAGATAAAAACCAACATTTGAGACAAAGAACAAGCAGTGTTTCATATGCATGCACACACCCTTGAACATACTTATCTCCATAGTAGACAGTCAATATATTAAGGTCATTGTGAAAGCAATTCTTTCCACACAACTCCTGACAAACACATGCTGCCTTGTATCTATAGGCTCTCCGCCTTTCAAATGCACTCAAATGGAAGAAATTGATGAGAGCTCTTGAGCTCTCTTTTAAAAAAAAGGGGAAGGCAAGTAGAGTATCAAATGTCTTTTCCATGCAAGAGGATCATGTTTCTTAATAGTAAAATTATCTTGAAACAAAATCAGTAAAACAAGGCCTGCTACAGTAGTATGCTAGGTTATGAACTTGGTCTAAGACATGGAAATAAAAACCTAAATTCCAGGTGGTTTCCCAATTATTTTCCTTGTCCTTCCAAGAATCTTTCCACTCCACAATGTCTTGATAGGAGAACACATGCTCTTTCTTTGAAATGATACATTGTGTCTAGTAGGATGAAACACTTGTAAATACGAATGCAAGAACAGGGTTGATCACTAGTAGTGAGCAGCATTTGACAGGCACAGACATTCCCTACATCGAAGTACAACAAATATGCGTCATGACACGGGGGAATTAGGTACTCGTCAAAAATCGATACAAAATTGCCCAACTGGTGAAAAAATGTTCTATTCAATTTCATAACTTTGATGAGCACAAGAATTTTACCATGATAACACACATAAATCTTCGATAAAATCTAAAGAGTTATGGTAATAGTATTTATTTCAAGTTGGGGAATAAATTGTGAAGGGTGATGACAAAATGAGTTACTTCTCGCAGTCCACAAATAGAAATATTGGCCAAAAATTGACACTAGGGTCAAATTAGTAGATTTTCTATAGATGCCATATTGTTTAAGTATAACATATCTTTTATTTCAAACTTATAAATTGTTAAAACTTTACCTATAAGTGTGATGTATCTATTTCCATAGGCCTGAATCTGAGAAGTAACTCATTTTGTCAGCATGCTTCACAATTGGTTTCCTTCATATTCCTAAGCATACTGGACAAATGCTGAACAGCTCCAGTGTCATATGTCCCACTATCAGGACACAATATAGACAAAACAGATTACAAATACAGTTATCTTTGTTACATGCTTCTTTAGTTCACCAACACTAGACACTAAAACTTTTTAAAATATCGCTTTACACAACAAGTTAAAGAGCCGCCACAAGCTTATAAGCAAAATCTAAAACTGATATAATATTTTCCTTAAATTAGATGCTAAACTAGGTTAATACTTGAGACCTGATTCTGTTCAGCAAAGTTAAGTATTGCTATAACTGAATATAGCAATTTAAAGCATTCTTTCTTTTGCATGAAATTTCATTTCCCTTCTGACAATTAATGGAGACATCTGTTTGAAAAATCTTTCTCTTTCATTTTGTCTTTTCAATTACAGACATACCAAAACTATGGGGTCATTTGAAAACATGTCCCTCTGGAGAGAAAGTACAGCAAACAAGGGTCATCTGATAGGCTGTAAAGATCTTCTTTGTTACTGTGAAAGTTTTTTTCATAAGTGTTTATTTATTTTTATTTTTTTTTACATAAAAAAGACTAAAAAAATCACACAAATGATATTTACTCTGACTGGACAAAGAACTTTTGTGGTATGGACTCTCATGTGAAAAAAAGGGACGGAGGAAAAAATACTTTTGTAAAGTAATGTATTGTGTGTTGAACAAAGCCACTGATAATGGTCACTGTGTACTACAGTACTAGTACCCATGTGACCCCGCCCCAGAACTATCAATAGTAGGATAGAAAACAGTAGGTACAAAGTCTGTAGCGATTTTTATCTCTGCTCACCAGAGACTCGTAGTTACAATACGGTCGCTGGTGAATGGGAGATGAGTCACTTGAGTAACCTAGGCGTACATACTAGTACTAGTCACCACTGGTGGCATTACTGGGGATAACACAGGAACTTCTGTGGTGCAAAGTGTTACTGTAGCATTGTGTTACTAGTACTCATAGTATTGTTTTTCATCACAATCTAAATTGGCGATTTAAAAAACCCCCAATAAAGCAAAACAAATTTTAAAAAACAAAACAACAAGCATTGTACTTGTAGGTTATTGATGTTCTGGTATGGATTGCCTTGCGTAAGTTGCTTCCCTTAGTATTTATAACATGATCAACTACTTAACTTGCCATTTTCACGGGGAGGACATTTTTGCCATTTTTGTCCACTACCACGAAAAGCACAAAAATTTCCTCTATGCCAAAAAAAAAAAAAAAAAGACCTCACCATATTGCTTACAGATGTTCAACCTGGACAATCATTAACAATTAACAACCAATGGGAAGTGTTAGATATGTTTTGGTGGTATAAATTGAGAGTCTGAGTTATCGGAAACAACTTTAAAAGGATGAACATGTTGTAAACATATAAGAAGGATCATATACTGAACGAAATGAGAAAAACAAATTTGTCATTCACTTGTAGGTAATGGTGCTGAAAAATGTAAGAACAATGGTCTTTTAAGTCATCTTCTTCTAAGAGCATAACTAAAAAAACAAAACAGAGATGACAAAGAATAATTTAAAATATATCACATTTTCATACAAAAACTACAAGCATTCATAAACATTCTATACAGATCACAATGCCCAGAACAGATACAGTTATGTTAATGTGAAGCTTAGATGTGGATGAAAAATTTCTCAGTATCCAAAATTCAGAAATTGCTATGTGTTTTGCAAAGATTTAGACATGATTTTTGAATTTATCACAACAGTTAAAATAAATAACTTCTATGTGCATAAGGCGTGGCACTCGGCTCTTTACATCACACACATCTGGTCCCATTTCACATCCTGACTATCTCAAAAAAGTCTTTCACTCTCCTCAACTATACAGCTGGATGATACACTGCTGAGAAACTTGCATTTCAATTTTGGACATTTTGCGTCATCATCACTTCTCTTTCCTCTGATTTTGGTCAGAAGTAAAAGAGCAGTCTTGGTAATGTTAGTGAACATGAGTAAAATTTACTTGTGCCCAGGAGTGTGCCCTCAAAGATGAACTTGTGAAATCTTGGACCTTTCAGAATATGAGCCTACTGCTGCCATGGATGGTTCAGATGAAGGTATTCCATGAGGCAGCCCATTGCTCCAAAATATCCCTGAGGACGGAATTTATTTGAACTTTAGTAGGTGTCATTATGGCCTACGAAAAGAAAACTTATATACATAGCAACTTATAGCCAAAAAAGTTTTAGTTCTTCATACATTCGCTGCATATATATGGGTTTGACAAACACAGAGAGCAGTGAGTTTACAATACAGAGAGGGGACTCATATACAGTACTACAGAGAGAGACTTAAACCCCATTGAAAGAGAAAGCTTGCAAGAAAGAGTGCTGAAGTTTGAAAACTATACATGTCGTCATATATTATACACACAGGTATGTGTACTTTCATTATACATAACTTGCAATTGCAGAATCTTTACCTTTCAACTTACAAGAAGTCTCACAGTCTATATCAGTAAAATTATTCTATTCTTCTTAAGAGGAAATCTGAAAATAACACATGCATCTCATTTTTGTGTGAATCTAATTACATAATAAATGCGGTTGTATTCAGCTCAAAAGAGTCTTTTTCTGAGAAAAAAAGCACTGTAAATTGTTCATTTGCTCATAGAAACCATTCACCCCCATTCATAGAGTAACAGAACATAAAAAACATGAGGACATTCTAAAAAAAACATCAAAATAAGCAACTTTATAGAGTTTAAACCTTACAAGCAGAGTGGTAAGATTTCCGAAATTCACCTTAACATACATGTAAAACACAAAATAATCAATCACAGAAGAAAAGAATCAATTTTGTTTCAAATAAAATCTCTTTCAGACTAAAACACTAAAAAGGATACTAGCAGTTACACGCTTTCTTAAAACAATTACAGTACACAGGAAGCAAAGATTATAGTTCCTCACCTCATGTTCGAGAAACAGAGCTTTTAATGACCCATTGGACCAGAAGTCCATTGCATATGCCAGCAGTTTCATGGAAATCTCATTCACTCGCAGAAAGTTGCCCACAAATACAACTCTTTCAATTTTCTGAAAAGATGAAACACACCAATTTAACTTCAAAACATAAAAAAGGACAAGACAACAAGACAACACTATAAAAGTGATAAAAAATATGAGACAAATCTTAGACCGACTTATTCAACGTCAAGCATTGAAGAAATAGACTAAGTTGAAAACACTGATTTCATGCTGAGAAATCAAACTTACACATTCTCAACATCAGAGGACACAAAAAACAAAGGGCAGGATTGGTGGTCAAGAAATGAATAAAGTGACTGTAACTCACATCAGCTATAGAAGAGAAACAAAAGAACTTGAGACAAGATGCAAAGTGAACAAAGAACATTAGCAATGCAGACATACAGAAACAGACACTATACAGAAGACATGATGAAAAACATTTCATTACTTCACACAACCATACATTTTAGCAATTTCTAGCAATGTTTACATAGAACTATAAAAGTGAACAGCAAATAATGGAGACCATCTAATTTTTTAACAAGAAATTTGTCATATATCAAGATATTGAGGGTGCCTGGTATTTGGTTAGTTACTTTGCCACAGAAGGTGCTTATCATAACAAGTACAAGAAGAGCACACAGATAAGAGAATGTCAGTTGATATACTTGTATCTGAAGGAGATGATTACTGGCAGTTTCTACAACTATATCAGAACATTATGAAATTTCAGGGATTAAAAAACTTTGAGTGAATGGCGGTGGTCATAGAGTCTCACCTCTGTTTTGGCACACATGCGAGCTATGGACCCGATATTGTTGGTCAGCGTAACCAGTGTCGCTCTCGCTAGGTCTTCCCGAGATGAAGTGTCTCGTTTTTCCTTACTCATCATGTGACCAAAACTGAAAACAGTACCACACATCAAATTAAATTGATAAAAACCGACTTTCAGAAGTTGCTAAATCAGGAAACAAACAAAATGTAAATGTAATTTAAAATTGAGCCACTCAGTTGAAAGTGTTAAGCACATCAATAATACAAAAATAATTCTTATCACAATAGCACATTTGGCTCTGAAACATGTAGAATCTAGTCTGAAGTTTGAAATAAAAGCAAAGAGAGACACAGAAACAGAATGAGTCATCTGTCTTAACTACAAGTACTTACAAATATTATGTAGCACATACAAAAAACCCTCCAGACATTTTATTATTGCTGCATACTTTCTGCGGTAAATAATAATACATATTCATGGCTTTGAAAACAAGAAACATTATAGAAAAAAAAGGGAAACAATTGTACATATTCATGGCTGTCAAAACTAGAAATATTACACAAAGAATAAAGGAAACAATAATACATATTCATGGCTTTAAAACTACAAACATTGCACAAAGAAGAAGGGAAAAAACAGTCAGTGCTTATGTCTTGACCTAATTCACATACCTGCAAGCCACGGTCTCTCCTGCCAAGCCAAACTTGGAGTAGTCTCCGCCATAAATGTCCCTTACCAGCTTGTCAATATTTTTACTGTCTCCCTGCGATGCAAGCTCGATGGCCTCTTCAAATGTTTCACAACCAGTCAATAAACAGCAAAGACCTAAAAATGTGCCACCGCCCAGGCTGAGGAAAAGATAAACCACTTTAAATATGCAATATAAAAAATCATCATCATCATCACCTTACTCACCCTGCATCAGGGTCTAGGCTAAAAAACACACTTTCCATCTTTCCCTATCCTGGGCTTGCTTTTTGATATTATTCCAAATAAAACCATACAAGAAAGTAAACTGTCCAAATGCCAAAAACAAGAGTAAAAAGTTTTACCATACCTTGATATCAAACATAAAAAAAACTTTTGTTTTAAACATCCTATCTGTTTTGATAAAAGATATTACTACTGTCTAAAACTTGAGCACCCTTGACAGCATATACTTTGCATTATTAGTAGCACGTCCAGTTAATGTACATATATATGGAAGAGAAAAAGTATCCTTATAATTCAGCACCACTCTCTCCCTCTCTCTTTCTCTCTCTCTCTTTCTCTCTCTCTCTTTGTGTGTGTGTGTGTGTGTGTGTGTGTGTGTGTGTGTGTGTGTGTGTGTGTGTGTGTGTGTGTGTGTGAGTGTGATAGAGAGAGACGGGAGAGGAAAAGAGAAAAATAGAGAATGAAAGAGAGAGAGAGAGAGAGAGCTAGACAGATAGATAAGCAGATAGACTGACAGACAGTGAGACCAACAGACAGAAAGTCAGATAGACTGAAAGTTAGACAGGCAGACAGACAGACAGACAGACAGACAGACAGATGAATATGATTAGAAGTGTGCATTGAATATTAGAGGTAATAGAAGCAATGAAAGGGTGAAAAATCAATTGTTGGCGAGAACTTTTTATGAGAAATCATATAACATTTCGACTATAGAAATAATATGTATGTACATATATATAAACACATAAGTAAGTTTGAAACATTAGCTTGGAATACGACAGCTGATACAGGGTGTTGGCCATTTGGAATGAACAATGTGATGTAAATAGGCATAGTCACAGTGACAAATACAAACGGGGAGACTGACAGATGTGTAATAATTCAGGACAGTTTGACTGTGAGTGGAAATAAATAGAAGAGCGTGCAAGTGTGTGTGTGTGTGTGTGCGTGTCTCTGAGAGAGAGAGAGAAAGAGAAAGAGAGAGAGAGAAAGAGAGAGGCAGAGAGAGAGAGAGAAAGAGAGGCAGAGAGAGAGGGGGAGAACGTGAAAAAGAGACAGACAGGCAGACAGACAGATAGACAGATAAATAGATGGACAGATAGAGATAGATAGATAGATAGATAGATAGATAGATAGATAGAGTCAGACAGACAGAGACAGACAGATAGAGACAGGGGGGAAGGAAAGGAGAGTGTGTGTGTGTGTGTGTGTGTGTGTGTGTGTGTGTGCGTATATGTGCCTGCGTGTGTGTCTGTGTGTGCGTGTGTGTGTGCGTGAGAGAAAACAAGAGAGAGGGCGAGGGAGAGAGAGCGAGAGAGATTGTGTATATATGTTTGTGTTAGTTGGCGAGAGAGAGAGAGAGAGAGGGGGAGAGAGA